ACGGCTGTAAACTACCGAGCGAAGTGCAAATGCTCAAAACAACCGGTCGGGTCATTATAGTATGTAAATTATATTCTGTTGTAGTTGTATATATTTTTTATTTAAATGTTGTATGAAAGTTGAAAAATAGTTGTATAACGTATGAATCGTTGTATAAAATTTGTATTTAAGTTATTAATATTATCTTTTTACATAAAATTATTGATTTGTCCAAAGATTTTACGAGGTTAATAACTATCGTGCGGGGCCAGTAAAGTATTCTGCTTCACTTGATTGGTTAACTTACCCAATACACTAAACTATCACAAATTAAAGAAACCTATTTAAATCAGCACTAAAATGGATACATCGTACTTAAAATTAATATTATACAATTTGATGGTACAACATCATACAAATTTAAAAACAAATTTCGTATATATTTAATACAAAATGCTATATCTACAACAACATACATACTAAAAATAAATTTCATACAACTAATTATATAGTACACACTTATTTACAACTTATCTACAACTTTCATACATTATTTTTACCAAGTTAAAATACATCTACAACATCATACAACTTAAATACAATTTTCATACAAATTTTATACAATATGTCTTTTGTATATTTTATATATTTTGTATTTGATTTGTATATATTTTGTATGTGGTGTGTGCTTCTTCCTCTCTAAAATTTCAATTAAAACTTTCTCTATTAATATAATCTTGATACAAATTAACAACTTTATGTAAAAAGATAGTATTGATAACTTAAATATAAATTTTATACAACAATTCATATATTATACAACTATTTTTCAACTTTCATACAACATTCAAATAAAAATATATATATATAACTACAACAGAATATAATTTACATAGAATTATAATACAACTTTACTACAATTTTGTAAGTATATTGTATGTCATGTGTTCTTCTTCTTCGAGTTTTAATCTGAAATTCAGCCAAAATCAAGTCTAATCTTCACCAAACATCCTCAAAATTGAGATATAAATTTCAAACAATATTCCCAATTGTTTGCCACAACACCCAATCCAAACAAATAATAATTTTTGAAAATTCAAATTCGAATTCAAAACTTCAAAGCTTTTTAATGGCCGCCAATGGTGGAGAGCCAAACACCTTCAAAATTTATTGATTGACAATTTGAATTTGAACATCAATTGTGCAACATGAAAGAAAATTGCTAAGTTAAAACTCTATAGTAAAACAATTGAAATCCATTGATGAATTTCATTAAAAATATATATAACATGAAAGGATAAAAAATAAAGAACATCAGAGGGAGAAAAAATGGGAAAAGAACAGAGAATGAGAGATCGAGAGACAGAGCAGGAGAGAGAGATGGAGAGAGAGAGAGAGAGAGAGAGAGAGAGAGAGAGAGAGAGAGAGAGAGAGAGCGGGAGGGAGAGAGAACAATGATGGAAAATAACTGATTTCTTATTCAATTCCCAATATAAAGGGATACTCATTTAAAACTAATTTGTATATAATTGATAAATTATATATGGCCATGTAATTAAGTTAAAACTTGATTAGGAAGGGTAATAAAGTTTCATATGTAGTATAGGAAGGTAAAAATCCCATTTTGCATTTACACGTGAGGGGCTCATTTTTAAGAAACAAAAATATCTTTCCTTTCTAATTTTTACCAAGATATATAATATGAGTAAAAATCTATATATTATTAAAAGGAGATGAAAAAATTATTTCCTCAAGCCAAGCGGCAGCCTAGAAAAAAGCCACATGGCATAAGTAGTTAATAATTAGTTATTGGTTATTGTTTTTGAATTTAAATATCTATAAAATAATAAAATAAAATATTTTATAATAAAAACCAAAAATTAAAAAAAACATTGTCCATTCAAATTGGAAAGACGTTTCAAGTTGGAGTTTTTAAATTATTTTAAAATAAAAAACTAAAATTACAAAAAATAAAAAAAATAAAATAAAAAACAAAATTACAAAAAATAAAAAACTTCCAATTTAAAATTTATTTGTTTTTTAATAATTTTTATTTTATTTAAAAAAATAAAAAGTTTATTTATTCAAAAAATATTATTGAAAATAATAGAATAAAATAAAAAATTAAAAAATATGTATCTCCTATTATATTATAAAAATAAAGTATCATACAAAAATATAAATTAATTAATATGCTAATAAAATTTTCTATTAACAATGCAATAATACTAAATATTGGATAATATAATAAAGAAAAATACAGAATAAAAAAGTTATTCGATGCCTTTAACTCTCATTAATTTAATAGAGATTTTATTCATTAAATTTTAGATAATATTATTGAGAACAATAGGATAAAATTTAAAATAAAAAAAATATTTCAAGAGTAATAAAATATATATATCTTCTATTATATTATAAAAAAAAAATAGTAGACAAAAATATTAAACAAAGTAATATGCTAATAAAAGTTTCTATTAACAATGCAATAATACTAAATATTTGATAATATAATAAATAAAAATACATAACAAAAATATTATTCAATTACTATACAACTCTCTTTAATTTAATAGAGATTTTATTCATTAAAATTCAGATAATATCATTAAGAATAATATGATAAAATTTAAATTAAAAAAATATTTCAAACGTAATAAAATATATATGTTCTATTATATTACAAAAAGAAAGAGGTAGATAAAAAATTTAATTAATATTTTTTAATATTGACCGAGCATCGAACGATACGACTAGTAGTATTTGATAAAAAAATTATAGGGTAAAAAGTGAGGCCCGTAAAGTTGGGGGCCTAAAGCTTGGGCTCGAGTGGCTTTACCCAAAAGCCGGCCCTGTAGCATCTTTGCCAAGTACCAATTTATATTTGCGGTAAAATTTTCTTAATAATAAGACTTTAAGTAAATAACATAAAATTTCTTTCACTGCAACAAATTTACCTTATCAGTATATTAAAGTTAAACTTATTTTCTTTTTCACGTAGATAGTAAGGAAAAATTATTTAGATTGCGGTGATTAGGCTCAGTGTCCTGTGCAGCACGATTACTCAATGTCGAAAATCATGTCGGCTTTGTGTTAGTTGGTTTATCGTTTATCTGTTCATAAATTATTAGTTTTGCTCATCTTAATCTTGCAAAATAAAAGGAAAAGAAAACATACACATGAGTGCGCAAACATGTACCAGAGTTATTTGGGCTTTCATGGGCCACGTGCGATGAATCTAGTCCAGAGTTTTTGTGCGCAAAATGTATTTTTCAGCCTTATTGTTAGTCTCGGGCCTCTAGTGGATTTTCATGGGGGAGTATACTACTAATAGCCATTTTTAGGACTGCTATACAGGGTGTGTAGCAAATACTTATTTTGTCCTGAAAATTTGAACTAAAAATAATTTCAGAACTTTGTATCGTAAAAAATTAGACTGAAAAATAGAATTTCAGGACACACTGATTAATTTCTAAATAGCAGCCATTTATAATGACACTTCCTAATCTTTCTGTCTTTCATATTCTTACCTGCGTCCAATTTATTTTTTATTTGGAATTCTCATAATTGAAAATAGGGATGAAAATGGGGCGGGACGGGGCTGATTTGATCTTAAGCGGGACAGGGTAGGTTTGATCTTTTGCGAGGTGAGGCGGGTGCGGGCGGGTTGAAACTGATTTTTCATAATCTAATGCAGGACGGGGCGGTTGCGGATTTCATTGCGGTTTCTTGCGGGTTTACTCTATGAAAATCACTATGAACCGTACAAATAAGGCAAAAAATAGTGAAGAAAATTCTCCGTGACATTGATACTTTTCTGCACTAAATTTATAGGTGATTGAATCAACTTTAATATTCATTTGTCTTTGTTTTTGGGTATTATATGGTGGCCCACAAGAGGGGAGATCTGTATTATGTCCTTAAAAAGGTTCTTTTAATTATATATATGGTCTTTTTCATAAAATATTAGTAAATAAATATAGAAAATTCTTGTGAGGTCATTTTCTTATATTTAAATAGTAACTGTTAGGAGATAATTCATACTAAAAACGGAGAAAAGAAAAATACTATAATATCAAGCAGAAAGTATATGTTCACATATATGAGCTTTCATATTATATATTATAAACTAGTTATAAAAAAATTATGGTGCATATTTGCTATACGGAAATTTATCAAGTACAAGTTAATACGTAAATTTAGATGTATTATATGTTGATGTTACAATTACAACGCTTTTATTTTCTAGCTTTTATGCATTTCAATTAAGTTATATTTTTTATTAAAATTTCTGAAAATAGAAATATAATAGTTGGATCCGTATGAGGGATTTAAGAAACTGAAAAAAAAAATAAGATATTAAACTTGTGCTTTTTCAGCAAAAATAACAAATGAGAAAAAAAAAAGTTGTAGGTCAGGTTTTTGCGGGGTAGGTTGAAAATAGAAAAAACTGCTATGCGGTGCGGGACGGGTTAAAATTTTGCGGGTTAAGCTCAAACCCACCCCGCCCAGCCCCATTGCCATTCCTAATTGAAATGTAGCAAACAATAAAGTGGAAAAAAATTTCTAAAATCACATCACATCACAGACTAAATAATCAGCAATTAAAGTCTGGTGTTGCGCATCTTATTGGCATAATTAAAATAAAGTACCCAAATGAACAAATGGTTTCGTGGTGTAGTTGGTTATCACGTCAGTCTAACACACTGAAGGTCTCCGGTTCGAGTCCGGGCGAAGCCACCATAATTTTTTTCTTTTTATTCCCCAATCAAAGGGGTCCCTGGAACGGCGTCGTGTGGTTTCGAATTATTTTATCCTCTGTAATAATTAATGCGAGGAACACGGATAAAAGGTCCCACCACCTGAATTAGCCGTAGCTACTAAAAAAGCCACGTCATTTAACCCAATTATCTCAACCTTCCGCATAAGCTCCTCGCTTCTCATTGGTCCAATCGTTCCACGTCATCACTCTCTCGAATTCTCCACCACAAATACCAAACCAAATCCACCTTTTCATTCTAAATTTTAGAAAAACCGAAAAAGGAGAAAGAAAAAAGAAAAAGAAAAGAAGAATCCAATTCTTAAGCATTACTTGAGATTTGAGAATTTCCAATTTCGTAGCATCTTCAATCAATTCTCTTCTTCCAGTTTTCCTTTCGAATTTCTAAATCTACTCAATGGATTTGAGGGGACCATCGCTTTATTTTTTGCTCATATTTCTGCTTGGGATCGCTGTTCGGTTTTCTCCCTCTGGAGCTTCAATCTCTAGCAAAGATGTCAACCCTCCATACCCTAAAGCTATTTCTGTAAGTTCATACCCTCTTTTATTTTCAATTAATCAATCAATTTGCATAAATAACCTGAATCTTCCTGTAATCATATCTCAAATACGAGAGACAAACTTGATTTTGTAATTTAAGATTTTTCGGGTCTCGTTAATGTTACCCGCCGACCCAATTAGTTTAGAATTGAATTGAGCCGATGGTTTATTTAATTATTCATTACATCTTTCTTTTTCTTTTTTTTCCTAAAATATAAATTTCGATAATACCTGAATCTTCCATCTCCAGTTATAACTTATAATCGTATCACAGATAATGAGAGGCAAAATTAATGTTAAAAATTTAAGCTTTTGTGGATCTCAATGTTATATTAACATCAATTAGGTCTCTAAAGTTTTTAATTTGCAGAAATACATCGTTGTTAGTTTTGGTTTCTTAGACTGATTGAGCTGGCATTGCAACACTCCTAATTCTTCTACTACATTAGCAATGCAAAAACACAGATATTTACATGCGAAATCCGGTTCTAGGGTTTGTTTTCTTATTAAAGTTTGAATTTTTTTTTAATGGAGTTTTGTTTTTTCTTCGTTTTCTAGGACCTGAAGGAGTCAATTGTTAAGGGATTAGGTTTCCAAGATGAGGATTTCAAGATATCCGGGTTTGATTTGAGGGACGCCCTTGTGGGTAGGTCAGTGTCTTACGAATTTGATGTTGAGATTGATAATAAAGTTATTCCCTTGAAGCTTTTGGAGGATGTGAATAGATGGGAGTTCGTAGATTTGCCTATTTTCCGGGTAGAGCGAGGTGAAGAAAATGGGTTGGTGGAGAGGCGGAGATTGGAGAATCAGGTGCCTGTTTTGGCGCCTTTTACTTTGGCAGGTCCGATGGAGCTTTGGATCCAAGATGCCAAGGACATGAGAATTTCGCTACCAGTAAGTGAAACCTTGACGTAAATTTTGTATAATACTGTACATTGTGCTAGAAATTTTTTGAAGTTAGCTTTTTATTTGATCTATTCACCAACAGTTTTGCTTGTTTATAGTAGGTACCCTTTAGAGAATTGTTGAACATTTCCCTTTTCTTCTATGCTTTCTTTGTCATTTGTTTTGTTATGTGCTTAATACCTAAGGATGCATGGAATTCCGATGAATGTTTAGTTTTCTAGGGGCTCTCTTGTCTGGTTCCCTTTCTTCTGCAATTTACCTAGGAACAAATAAATATAAATGAGCCTCTGTTGCTAAAATAGTAATGAAATGCCCCTGCATTCAGCTTGTATGTTTCTCCGAATTATGCTGGAAAGAAGTCCCTGCTTTGAAAGTATAGGCTTCTATTTTTCCATGTTAAATGGTGTCCTCTGCTCTTATTGATAAGCGTTGATAATTTTGTGGACTTTGGTCTGTTGCACACTTAATTGAATGAATAACTGGATTACTCTCTTGTTGGTGGGTTTAGTTGGAATTATCTTGAGTGCATTAGGTTGATGGTAGTAGGTTTGTATTTGGAAATCTGATTCCTTTGAAGTTGGTGGATGTAGCTGCATAATCTAAAGTGCACTTACATTGGCTTTGCTAGGGATGCAGACTCATTATTTTTGATATGGTGTTTGTCTTTCAGTTGGTTGTTTGCATTAATTATTTTTCTTGCCAATTTTTATTTGACTAATCTGCTTTGCTTCTCTTGTTGGTAATTAATATGCAGCATGATGTGGATGCCGGGGAGCTGAGGAAAGTGATCTTAGCCGATGGTGCTGTTGTTACAGTCAAAGGTGCCAGATCTGTTAGCCTGCGCCATCCAATAGAGCTTCCACTGCCCTTCAACAGAACGACAAATGGATTTGCCTCTGGTCTGTTGGCATTGGCTGAATATTTACGTCAAGCTTCTCTAACTGAAGGGGGACCTCTCCTCTCTCTTCGAATTGTTGGTCCTACATCTCTTACATCCCCTACCTCACAATCTTCCCCTTCTGCAAACAAACTTAAGATTAAACGGCTTGCACCTGGTCTTGTTGAGTTGTCATCAGTATCAAAAATGAAAGCCATCTCCACCATCGATCTCCAGGGAGAAACCACTGCGATCCTTACACCCCATCAATATACTACATTGTGGCCTGTCACATCTGTCAATGGTTCAAACTCAAACTTGCTTGGTTTTGAGGCCTTGCTTACTAATGTACTGGGCCCTAAAGCAAGTCAAAAGGGTTCTTTCAAATTGCTGAAGGCAGATGTATCAGCCCAGACTTTCGTGAAGATTGGTTTTGGAGTCGAGAAGAAGTTGAAGGAAGGAGATGGATTCAATTGGGAGGGTTATCCAGAGTGGAGAACTAAGCCTGAATCGGTGAGGATGCATTTTGAAGTTCTGGCAAAGGTAGATGGGGACAAAGTTGTGCCAGAGAGAGTCGTGCAGGTTGATCCGATAACTATAGAGGATACAGTGGCACCAAGTGTGCTCATGGGCAATGTCTCCATGTCAAAAACTCCAATCATTTACCCACCTCCAAATCCATTCACCTTGTAAACTCTTTAGACGGGTGAGGTTTGTGTTGAGCAATATTGTGTAGATAAAATTACCCGTTTTCTTTTGTCCTCTCTTTTCGTAGCAATTACATACATCAGGTGGGAAGAGGCCTGACTTTGTAAGAATTTATCAAAGAAGTATCAGGAATATATGCCAGATCTTTTTGGTACTGTGCAATTTTTTTAGTTTCTTTTGACGTTTGCTTTCTTTAAGGTTAGTGATTTAACGTGGCAAAGGTTTTCATTGAGCGAAGAACAGAAGAGTTTGGTTTTGTTAAACAAAAGTGTAGCAAGAACATAAAGCTTCCATTTCGAATAATATTCGTTTCAGAGCGAGAAGACTGAGACACTATTTATCAGCATAGTACTTGACATACAACCATCTCGTTTCTAATATTTACCAGACAACCAGAAAATGTATTACTGAATTTGAAACTTAATACTAATTCCTGATGAAGGAAACTCCTTTCTGAATGCTCTCAGCAAGCTCTTGCTTGGCCTTCTCCAGTCCAATCCTGTTAGAAATTACTTAGTTAGAGAACTAACTTATCTAATACCCAGAAAATTGCAGGTCAAGCATCGCGTTCTTACCTCTCATACTCGTTTAGGGGACCAAGTTGATAGACTTCTTCAGCTCCAGTACGACCAAGTCGCACTTTGGAGGCAAAGAATGGGAGTTCTGTAACCTGTGTCAAAATTGTTATTGGCCAGTCAGGGAAATTTGACAGAAAAAGAAAACAAGTTGTTAGGACTTTTGCCCCTGGAAATAAGTTTGAGAAAGTACCTGAGAAGCTACAAAAGCACAGGCCACCACACCGGCATCTCCTCTTAAGCCCTTGAGGCAAGCATCTGCAAATTTTACAGCTGCATATGCCTATAGGAATCGCATTAGATTCAGTTCTACTCAATATGCATTTATGCAATGTTCAGAAAGCATTAATTAAAATATTTCAAGGAGTAATTCTAACCATAGATAAAGTTGCAGATCCAGCCCCTTTTTTGGCCTGCAAAGATAAAAATTCAATCACAGTTCTGTTCTGCTGCAAGAAACTATCAGTATATGCTGAATTGCAAGTAGCGCACGCGTACCTCAACAACTTCTGTCCCTCCATCTTGAATGCGCTTAGTCAAATATTCTGTTTCCTCTTGTGTGAAGGAGCAAGGAGGCTTGACCTACAATGCATTACAAAGTTCAAAATATATCAGTATCAGAGGAAATTTCAGCCTGCAAGAAAGTTTCTCTTTGTATCTCTGCTAAAGTATAATTTTGTTAGACCTGTGAGAGAAGAGGCAAAATTGTCACCCCGGCATGACCTCCAACAACAGGAACATCTACTTCCCTAGGATCTAGTCCCAAAACTTCTGCCTGTAAAGACCTCAATCACATATTAATAAAGGAAAAGACAAGAAAAAGAAAGGTCTAGTAGTTAGTGGATGGAGCCACAAAAACAGTGACAGAAGTGTCTGATGAAATTCCATAAGCTCGAAAATCTATCAAAAAACAAAGCTGAGATTCTTGAGAGGGGTTAGAATTATTTGCAGTTAGCTGATACAGAGGACACTAAGAAATAAACAGCGAAAATCGAGCTAAGATATTGCAGAACAATTTTAAAAAGTAGTATATTGGGAAACACTTACCACAAAAGTATTGGCTCTCACAACATCTAGTGAGGTAACTCCAAGAAGCTTCTTTGGATCATAAGTACCTGCTTTCTTGAAAACTTCAGCTGCAATAGGAACTGTGGAATTCACCGGATTACTAATCAAATTAACAATAGCATTAGGACAGCACTTTGCAATTCCTTCACAGAGAGTCCTCACAATCCCAGCATTAATCTTGAAAAGATCATCTCTTGTCATTCCTGGTTTTCTTGGAATACCAGCAGGTATGATCACTAGGTCCATTCCTGTAAGTGCAGCCTCAAGCTGACTTTGCCCTAGAAAACCCCTCACCTAAAATAATGCACAAAGTAAGAAAATTATTCTTCAAATTTATCTTCTGCAAATAAATTGTAGATTTTGTTGACAAGAAACTCACAACAGCACCGGTGTCCATGTGGCTAATATCAGCAGTAACACCAGGAGCATTAACAACATCATAGAGATGAAGAACTGAGACTAAAGGGTTCATCTTCATCAACATTGCAAGTGGTTGGCCAATACCTCCAGCAGCACCCAATATAGCAACCTTAAATCCAGGTGCCCCACCTTTTGCTCTGCAGTTTGATCTTTCCAAAACAGATCCCTCTGCCATCTTTATGAATTATGTGTATGGTAAAACCAACAGTTAAGTATCAATATTTTGTTCAAGTTAGTTACTAACAAATAGTCAAGTTTCAACCAATGAGGGCGTCATCCAACATCGCTTAGCAAAAAATTTCGTTATATATATTTCTAGAAGATAATTAGTATATATACAAATAGGCCTACTCTATTTACACTGCTCGAAAATAATACAAAATAAACGTTAATTTGAGACAGGAAGTAAAGCCTTATAACCAACCTAGTCTTAGACTCAAACCTACAGCTACAAGTTGAATTGTGACAATAGACCGAGATCACTTGTGTAAAATTGGGTACGCTGCAGGTGTTAACCATAATATTTCAAGAATTCACAATCTATTAAAATTAAAGTTCATTCAACTGAAACTCCAAGACTGAAAAATGAATAGCAGCAAGTAGAAAATGAAGAGACCTGGAGATTTGGGGGATTGAGATGAGCTGAAATTCTGGCAATGCGTTGGTGAACTTCTGAACCTGATGGCTGCATCTTCTGAGAATTGTGTGTCTTTGTGTTTCTAATTTAGGAAGTAAAGGTAGTGATATTTCAATTCTTTTTTTAAAAGATTGCTTGTGGATAAAACGACAATAATATAAGGTGATGCTTATTTTGGAAGTTCAGGACTGTTTTTTTCTTTTCTTCAGAATTTTTTGTGGAAAAGAATTTTCTGAAGAGTTATCCTATACTCTAACGTTTGTGGCTCACTGAAATCTGTTCCCCCCCCCCCAACTTGAAGCTATAATATCTTTGGCTCTTAGCACACCTGGCTAACTCATATAGTTATTTTCTGGGGAAGTTATCATTGATTATTAGGTTGCAACTCATATCCTTTCATTGTTAACGAGTTAGATGAATTTTGACCGAAATGCTTTTTAGGCATTTTTTACTGGTTTATTTAGTTGGGCTGCAGGAAAATGGGCCTATATTCTGTAAAAGTTCAACTGAATGCCAAGACCAAAAAGGCCCCAGAGGGAAATAGGTCCACCAATTCCCGAGTACTTCATATTAGATCTCTTTTTAGTTTTCACGTTTGTGATCAGTCAACAGGTAACTTACAATTATGTGATTTAGTAAAATTCTGCGAATCTTCAGTTTTTCCACAATTATATTGCAGCATAAAACTCTCATATGAATCTTCTATTGCGGAGAGTTCATCATTAACAACGTGTAACATTGATAATGTTCTTGAAAAGTTGTAGTTGTCCAAATTCGAAAGACTAGAAAAAATGTCTTTCCTTGTTTAACCCAAAAATAGATTTCTCGGTCAACAACTAATATTAGAAAAAATTCGGGTTACTGATAACCAAAATTACTTCTCTTTCTTGGTAATTCAAAGAATAGAAAAAATAATGGAAATAATAGGCAAAGAAAGAAAGCTTAACGTAGATCACTAAACTTTCCCAGAATTGCGGTTTGCGCACTTTCAATAAAGTAAAAGACTAATTGCGAATATTGATAAATATTCAGATGTCTCTACAAATGAGGAACGGGTCCTTATATAAGGATATACAATTATAACGATTTTTCTACTTAATTCTAGCTCGTTAATGGCATTAATTGCCTTGATTGCCCGTTACCATATTTAATTGTAACGGTTACAATAATAACTGAGGATTTTTGATAATCAAGATCAATGCCGATTTCTCTTCCTTATTTATAATAGATTCATGAATCTTCCCCTTTTATGGTCTTCATTCATCTCGTGCCTATTTCTTCTTTTCCAGCTGTCATGGCCGATACCTCTTCTGATAAAACACAAGGGGTGTTTTATTCTTGCCTCTTCATTTTCTTTTATTGACTCAACTGAAAGTGCCATTTGTCACCTCGCTGATAGTCCATGTGCCATGTCTTTTTTCCACCAATATACTCTCGGCAGAAAAGAAACATTTTAAGTGAAGCTTGGAAGTGAAAGAAAGTAAAATTATTTGGCTTCTCTAAATGAGGATTATATTTTTCTTTTTAGCAAAGGTAAATACTAGGGGAGTTAATATCGATCCAACAAAGAGGCAACTTTATGCAGATAATAATATGTATAATTTTTTGATTGCATTGTTGCTGTAAGACATGCATTTTGCGTGCATTCTTTAACTCCAATCATCACCAATCGAATCTTCAAGAAACGGTAATATTCTCTAATGTATTTCGTGGATTTCTCGGTTATAAAAAGAAAATATGTGCGAGGAATATCCAAATTTTCATTTTATAAGGACGAGTCTTATAACGTACTAAACCCTACACTGTAAATCTTACTTACCTCAAACTTCAGATGGACTAAACCGCTAAATACCATGTTGATGTATTTTGTTCCAATGGTTAGTATTATAAGGTGGCTCTAAATTTATTTCAAATGTCAAATGAGTCATTTTAATAAGGCTCAACTAACGCACACATGCACCGAGTCGTTTGATCTTAAGGAATAATGATCACTTTGTCTATCTATAACAAAGATTTTGATGCATCAAATACAACTTAAAAGTTAGTAAAAGTTATACTTTCTCGTGTCAACAACCACTTTTTCCAACTAAAATATAAGGTGTTGGGCAATAGTTTATTCATAGCAACCGCTTACTTTTGTCCCTTAATAATAAGTCAATTATGATGTGTTACGTCTAAACCAAACACTCACTACTATTCATTATTTTTCCTCTTTTTTGTTGGTGTACTCTTTCCCACATCATTAATGATAGAATAGAAACGATTCGATTAGATAACAGTGATTAAAAAAAATTGATTCGAATTCGTGACACAACAATTTAAGTTGTGTTCGATATCTTGGCCAGATTGTTCTTTAAGAACACATTTTTTGTGTCCAGTTTTTGGATAAATATACAAATCTCTTTCGCCATCCCTCTCTGCCCTTGCTTCTTTAATTTGCTTTTAGGGAGAGTAAGATCACTATCAGGTGGATGC